TGAGGTGAACTTTGATGTTAACCTGGGTCAGGACTATTGAAAGCAGGAATGATGGGAGGTTACTAACAGCCATTTAACACCACCCCACCCAGGGACTGGCATTAGTCTACGTGTGTGAGAGAGGAAATACTTCTTCTAGAAAAAATAGAAAGTGAGAAGGAACCAGAAGTCACTGTCACAGTTACTCTGGCCTCTGAGAGGTCTCTGTGAAGGGACAGGTGAGCCCCACCTACCAGGCAAAAAGCAGATACCCCCTAAAGTAAAAATCACACAGCTAGGGAGATGCAGAAGCAACCATGGGGTGCAGACTGATGGGTTTTCCTCACCGCAGCTGCCTCCCAGACTGAAAATCATGAAACTCTCAGGGTGGAGCTTTCCCTGGACCGCAGACTCACTTTGCTGATTTCTCTCATTAGGTTTAATTCATTCTGTTTCCTTTAAAATATCTTTCAGATTTATTTATTTTTATTTTGCGTATATGAATGTTCTGCCTGCGTGTCTAGATGTTCACCACATGCATGCCTGATACAGATACAGAGGTCAGAAGGCATGGGCTCCTCTACAACTGGAGCTAAAGAGAGTTGTGAGCCACCAAGTGGGCGCTGGGAACTGAACCCAGGGCCTCTGTAAGAGCAGCGCATGACCTTAACTGCGGAGCCACCTTTCCAGCCCCGTCATTCTAAGCTTCTTACAACTCCAACTGGTGCTTGTCAATTCATTTCCATCCAATCCACACATTCACAGAGCTGTATTGATTTAGCTTTGTGTCAGTGGAAAGCTGTGACATGCTTAGAGACACAAGAGTGGACAAAGCGGACAATACTCTGTCCTTGCAGAAATGCTATAGCAGAATGTCCTTCTCCTGGGAAGATCAAATAGTCAATGATCTGGGCTTTTTAGGCTGTATTTCAATGACTCAGAGCCATCGTTACTACATGAGAAAAACTACATAAAATATATAGACCAATGGGTATAGCTGTGTGCCAATAAATCTTTATTTATAAAACGGTCAAAGGCCAGGTTTAGCCCACAGGAGATCCCCACCACTTCCTAGAGGAAAACTCAAAAAAGAAGCAAGTAAGTTGTCACAGAGTGTGCTAATTATTCTAACTGAAGCAGTAGAGCGAGCTCTGGGGACATGTGGGGACACCAAAGCCAGGTAAGAGAAGGCTGCCAGGAGAAACCCGCATTCCAAAGCAGGGCGGAGGACGGTTGGAACCAAACTGGTGCAAGTGGTCACTCTCTTCCACTGCTGGTGGTCCCTCAGCCATACCCCTCGTGAGTGTTTCTGTCCTACAGTTGCTTGACTTGTCTCTTTAGCAACAATTCAAAGCCCCCTCCTTTGCTCCCACAGCAAACACATCAACCTTTCCTTGAGTCTGGCACATTCTAGATTCCTCTCAGTCTATCCGCAGACTTCTAAAATCTGCTCAGAAAGAAAGCTGTACTTAAGCAGATACATCTTATGGAGTGTAAATCAGACTTAGAAACATAAATAAAGCCAGCAGCTTGACTCATGGGAGCCCTTGCAGCTGACTACACAGCCATGAAGTCAGCAGCTGCCAGAGGCTGAAAAACCCCAACTTTATCTTTGTCCTTGAACACAAACGACTGCCAGAAGTGAAAAGTATACACCCGTGTCAACAACGAGTGGCAACAACAACAGCAAAATCTAACCTGCAAATGTAGGAGCTAGTACAATTAGATGCAATATGCAAAATGACACATTTAATATTTTGACACAAAAAGATGATTGAGAATTGAGAAAATAAAAGTAAATATTAAAACTTAATTTGGAAGAAATAAAACAAGGGAACTGAAGTGCTTGTCACACACGCATGACAACTGGGGTCAGACCCCCTACACACACATACAATCACTTCCTTGAAGATGATCTCTCTCTCTCTCTCTCTCTCTCTCTCTCTCTCTCTCTCTCTCTCTCTCATATACACACAATCACATACACACACGCATACACACAAACACACACATACACGCATGCACATGTACACAAACATGTATACACACACACACACACACACACACACACACACACACACACAGGCCAGCACACTACACACAGACATATGGAAAAAAGAGTCTAGCCATTAATAATCAGACAAGAATCTGTTGAACACAGTTCAAGAAATAATTGGTTATTTTAGAGAGATAGAGTAAGTAACAGATTAATTTTCTAAAAGGAACTGGAGAATGGGAAAAGCCAAATAAAGAATCACATGCTGGGACTGGAAAATGGCTCCATGGATAAGTGCTCTTGCAGCTTTACCAACACTCATGTCTAGTTGGCCATTGCCACCAGTCACCTCCAGCTCTGTCCTCTGAAGGCAGTGCACCCATGTGCACACACAAATGCACACAACTGAAAATAAAAATACCACATGCCTAAGAGCAATCAAGTGCTAATGCAGACACAGGAGCTGGAATACAGAAATATGCAAACCTATGAAGTGAGTGGGAAAATGGGACGAGACCGAGGCACCCTTGAAGACACTCAGGACTACAGTTTTCTAGACTTTCTGTGTGAAGGAACACAAAGTCAGTCCAAGCACTCAGCCCTTCCCTGTTTACGTGGTCAAGGTAAAAAGAAATCAGTTTCTACTGTTTTGACAGATCTTGAGCTATGAAAGAGTGTGGTGTTGCCGTGCCGTTTCACAATGAGACTTCAAAAGCAAGTGACATCACAAAAAGCCTTCTGTCTTGTTTGCTTTTTCCTCACCCACACAGCTTCTAGGTTTCTTCCCATAGTACCACTTTATTGGTTTTAGTAAAAAGAAAAGAAAAACGGGGGTGCATATCAGGCCTAGGAATTGGGGCCATGCTGGAATCCCTGGAAACCCTCGACAGCTGGTTACAGTGTTTGACCTTGAAGTCATTACATAAGGACTGTTGTTGAAGGACAACCTGCACTTAGAGTCAGCCACACAAGAAAAGAAAGTTTACCAAAAGCATCTTTCCAGACCTTGAAATGAAATTGGATTTAGCAAATGTCACCGAAATACAGATGTCCTTTGGCCTACTCACAGGAAGGTAAGGATAGACTTGGCTAACACTTAAGGATAATTTACTAAAATGTCACCACCACCACCATGCTATGTAGATACAACAAATCTGCCTTCAGGTCACATAAATGAAAATGGTTTGCTTACTTTCTCTAAATGATTCAACAAATCCTATACTGAATTGCTCAGTTGTGTAAGTTTCATAAAATAAAAGAAGTAAATGATACTAAGTTTTTCTTTCAAAATAAATATCATGCCATGAATATTTTTTATTTTTTGCAGCTATTGAAATCACTTTTTGAACTCAATTGTAACCTATAAAGCAAAAATTCAGAGATGGTAAGAAAAGCTATTTTAGGTTTAGGTGACTCTGACGGCTGCCTTTTGAAAATCTGTTGATCTCCAGATGTTACACAACTAGGCCTCAGGGCAGTGGGTTTCAACTTTAGAATGTACCTGCACTAACAATAAGCTCACTTACAGGGAGCCTGGAGAAATAGCTCAGTTCTTAAGTACTTGCCACCAGGGCCTAAGAATCTGAGTCTGATCCTCCAGGCCCCACATTTGAAAAACTGGCCGTGGTGGCAAGCGTCTGTAATCCTAGCACTAGGGAGGATTCCTGGGGCTTGCTGGCTAGCCAGCCTAACCAAATTAGTGAACTCCAGGCCACTGGGAAATCTTATCTCAAAAAATTAACACAGAATGGTTGAGGTGAGTACCCATTATGGACTTCTGACCTACACACAATCTCTCAAATGTATACACCACAGATTCCTGACCCCCGAAGCTGATGCTGTAGGCTTGAGATGAACTCCAGAATTCTGCCCTTTTACAGGTACTACGGATGGTCTGAGTTCTGTCAGTGGGTCCATGGGGCTCCTTAGTCCTCTGTCTTAGGAGAAATGGACCCACAAGCCCGCCCTTGCCTACAAACTCAAGAACCTGAAGAACACTTGCTAGGCTAGCCCATAGAAGTGAGCTGACTTCCGAGGCTCTGGTTTGGGCTGGGTCTCCAAGATGACTCCAGTAATCAATGAGAAGGACAGAGAAGAGTCATCACAATTCCCAGGTGTAGAATAAACTGCCACTTAGCGTGACAGGTAAACATGGATTCAAGAGCACGCAAAGAAATTCTTTGCAGATGTTTGTATATCTGTCTACTCTTTCCCTCTCTCAAGAGGGGGGCAGCTCACCTTTCCATAGTCTCCATGGTAATGGGCCATTTTCCCTCAGCCTTCAACTCCAAGCTCAGTTTCAAGAATGAGAAAGCGTGGTGTGAGCTGAAGAGAGGTTGGTAAAGTTTTTTTTATTTATCCCCAAAGAGTAGGCAGTCAATATTGACCTGATTTCAGAGCAGACAGTGACACAGGAGGGCCTTTTTAAAGCAGAATGCCTGCTGAGTGGTCAGAGCTAGGGGGTGTGGAAGATACGTCAACAGTTTTTGCCTAAATGCAATTGAATTTGTTTAGTTTGAAGCAACCTTCAGAGTACTGTTGTAGAAATTACTCCCTCAAGATAGGGGTTATTATAGGTGACAGATCCTAATTATTATTAAGGCACTAGGTTTTGTCATTTTTAATGTATTAATCACATGCATTTACACTCACAGAGAGTCAATCAGAAGAGAAAAAACACAGAATATACCTCATTCAATGTCTGCTTGTCAAGGATTCCTATTCCCATACACTTAACACTATTGAATTCACTCCAAAGAGTTAACTATATAGGTTAGCAGGATAAATACCCTTTTCCCTCCAGACTTTTCTGTGACTTTGCAAACTGGTCAACAATTGAACACAAAGGCCTCCAGAGTCACACTGGAATGTTGTGACAGAACCATCAGATGACATGGGACTCAGCCTCTTGTGTTTATGCCCAAACAGTGAACAGCAGAAGTGAACAGAACCCATATCCGAGCCAGCACAGCCTGAGAAAGACTTGATGCTCTCTGACTCCATGGCCCATGGCAACAGATGGAAAATGACAGCAAACCCTCTAAGAACAGCTCTCATTTTGCTCTCCTTTGCCCTCTCCGGGGTGCTGGGCACAGCAACAATCTCTTGCAAAAGTGATGAAGGTGAAGCTGTGGACTGGTGGGTAAATGAAATGGGATGATTGGTGTGTGCAAATCCAAAGTCAGGGCACTCTGTGACGAACCTAAGGAAAGCTTTTACCTGGCTTCCTCCCTTTACAAAGCCAGATACTGGGGCTGGGGTTATGGCTGGGTTGGTAGAATGTTTGGGTAGCATGTACGAGGCTCTGGGCTCAGGCCCTAGCACCACATAAACGGGGCAGGGTGGAACATGCTGTAATCACAGTGGAAGCATCAAGGAGTTCAAGACTATGCTCATCAAGAAAGTGAGTTCCAGGCTAGACTGGCTTTTATGAGATCTTGCTTGAAATAAATAGATTCATAAATTAATTAATTAAAGTGTGCCATTGGGCTCAATTCCCAGGCAGAGATGATTGCTGAGTGGGTGAGTTGCCCCTGAGAAAGTGCCAAGCAGTTCTCTGGAGACTTAGTCAGTGCTTTGGGGGGCAGGGCAGGGAGCAGAGTGTGACTGAGCTGACAACTGTCACTTGGCAATTTCTTTTCATTTCTGTGCCTTTTCTGAGATACAAAGCCGGGAAAGCATATGGCTCTTTCTAAAGCTAAGGCATACCTTTCCCCTCATGGGAACAAGAAACAGTACATGATGGAACCAAGCATTGTTTGTTAACCTTCATTCACCAGGTGGCCCAGGCATCAGTGACTGGTCTCTGTCACAGTGTCAGTGAGACAAACCACACTATGACAATGTGGTGATGTCCTCCTTGGAAATCTGGGCACTTTTCCTCTCTTTAACTCTGATGTTTAGGTCACTGTGGCAGTTGAAAGTGTGGTGTGAATTTCAAACTAAAGAGCTTCAATCAGTCCAGTCTTTCAGCATTTACGAGCTCTGACCAGGCCTGCCCTGAGTGTAAGTCCATAAAGGACCAAGTGAGGAGTGTGGTGCTCTTGAGCAGACAGTTGCATTGTGATGGTCTGTGTATTATGTTTGGCTCACTGAGTCTCTTGGGGGTTAATTACAGTGCTTCATGCTGTTATCATGTATTTAGCTAGACCAGTAGTTTTTAAATTTGCTTTTGGGGGACTTCTGACAAGGTCTAGGGACAGTTTTGATGGCCACACTTTGGGATACTTTTGGCATATAAAAGGAGGAGGCCAGACAGCCTACAGGACACAGGCCAGCTCAGTAAACATAAACCTTGATCACAATGGACCTAGAGCACATGAGAAATCCCAGGTTTTCCTGGGGTGACGCAAGGCTGGCTGAACGCTCCTGGGGCCTGATCACTCGTCCTCACTGTGAGATACGCAAAGGAAATAGGAAACAGAATAATGACAGACACAGGAAGAGAAGGCCTGTGCCAAGCACTTGATGAGTAAACCCTCCATCCACAACATTCCAATAAACTGAACTGAAGAAAGTTGCTCAGGACCAAGCCACAGGAAAGCCTCCTGCTCAAACAAAGCCCACACCCATCCGTCTAGCCCAAAGAACCAGGTGCTAAGCACTATGGTGGCCGCAAACCCAAGACTTCCCAGTGCAGACCTAGATCTTGGCCTTCTCTCCCCTGTGACCACTGGGACTATGGGAACAACAGAGAGAATCACTCTCAACACACATGAACTTACATTTCAGGGCCCCAGTCACTAGGCTAGCTAATGTGTTAGATTCTGAGCCTTAGAACGCACCGCCCATGCCAAGCTTCCCTTCCCTGGAGACAGGTAAACAGAGGAGAGAGAGGAACGGACAGAAACCTCGAGTACTCCCTTTGCTTAGAGGCCTCCTATGAAATACAGTGAATGGTTTTTACATAGACTGCCATCAGTAAAGCAGCCAATAAATGATAGCAATTCATAACTATTTGCTATGTTAGGTTTATCTTTTATAAGTTACCCAAAAGGCCTGACAATGAAAGTGCAGAGTCCGGGCTGGAGTACCTGTACCTGGACTCTACAATGAGAAGCTGGAGGAAGAGCTACCATCTCATAAATAGCAACGAGAGCATTGTGGGAAGGACCTTGGAGCAGCTGTATGAAGCGTATCCCTCCAAGGTAGGTTACAGTCAAACATTCGGAGGAAATCATAGGAAGCATGCAAACAAAATCTAAACTCAAAAAACATCTTTGGAACATGTGTGTGTGTGTGTGTGTGTGTGTGTGTGTGTGTGTGTGTGCTGATATATTATTTATGATTTATTAAAGCTTGCCTGAAATATCAGAGTGAAAAGCCAACCACACTAGCTGGCTCTAGAAGCTGGGCAATGGCGATACACACCTTTAATCCCAGCAGTCATACTAACCAGCCGTAGAGCCAGGCAGTGATGGCACACACCTTTAATCCCAGGACGCAGGAGCCAGAGTTCAAGTCCTCCCTGGCCTACACCAGAGCTCACGCATTTGGTCTCAGCACTTGGAATCACAGGCACTAGGGAGGTGGAGACAGGAGTGTATGGCTGGGCAGACAGAAGTATAAAAGGAAGTAAAGGGGTCCCATGTGGAGATTTGGTTTCCAGACAAGAAGGCATAGGATTGTAGTCTGAGGAGAGCAGTGCACTTTGGAGATGCAATCAGAGCACACAATCGTCCTTCTGTCTGAGCATTGGTGGAGGTGAGAAATCTCCAGGGCTTGGCTGCTTTGCTTCTCTGGTCTTCAGCTTGAAGCTGACTCTGGGTCTTCTATTATTCAAATTACACCAAGCAGTAACTGACACACGGTTCTACTCCATGAATGTATTCCCTGACAATAAGTTATGGGTGTGTTCAAAATGACTGTTTCTATACTATGATAGGTTCTTTGCTGGGCTTTTCAGCTATTAAATAGTTTCATTCTCAACACAAGACTGCTTTAGCTTCTAGTGCTACCACACAAATCTACCTGAACATTCACCAGGGAGCTGTCACTATGTGTGGGGGGGAGGGGGAAGTGCTTGTTTTAGTCACTTGCCACTAAAAGCAACCTTAAAGCCAAATCACATAGTTAAAATGATTCTGTAGGCTGGTTGGGTACATGTGATGTGTCAAAAACAGTTTCTGTGCTTTTTTTTTTTTTTTTTTTGAAGTTATTTAATCTCAACAACAACCCTGTTTTAAATAACCAGACTATTACGTAAGATGAAAACTGAGAGCTTCTGCTTCCCAAGGTGATGAGAACCTAGAATGGAACCCATTAGTGAGAAAATAAACCCCTGCATTGTTCTCCTCTCCATCCCAGGGACTCATGGAGCAGAGAAGAGGAAAAGATAACCACGGTCAAGCCTCTGCCACCTTTCACCTTACTTTGAGTAGATACCATTTGACTTTTAGGTTGGCAGATTCCAATAATGACCGAGGAACATGAAAGGCAGCCCAGTGCCTAGGAGAGAGAAGGCACCACACCTGCTTAGCAGAACGAAAACAGGAAGAAGGGTCAGGTGTGGCTTACACCTATAATCCTAACACTCAGGAGGATCACTGAGGCAGGAGGATCACCATGAGTTCAAGACCTGCCTGGGATATATAAGTGACTTCCAGGCTTGTCTGGGTTACAGACTAAAGTCTTGTCCACCCTCATTCTAAAACTAAAGGAAGTAAGGAATTGAAGATTGTGTGAGAAATAAAAGGGACGTTGGGGTAAAGCATGACAACGGTGTAAAAGCCTTTGCTGTTTGAGTAAAACCCTCACACATACAGTGCTTTGAGTTCTTGGTTCTAGAGAAGAACGTGTCAGGAAAGAGGCTGGTCCCGTGTCCAATTGGCGCAAAAGAAGAAAGCAACAGAGCAAATGAACGTAGGAGTGACTGGGTGTTCTTTGGAAGACAGAACTATCTGCCCCCCGTGACGGAGAACTGTCTTCTCTACTCTTTGACCCTGTATTGATCTTCTAACCGATAGTAGGATGTACGATCAGACCAGCTAATTTTGTATCACAAATTTCCAATAGCCTGGTTATACTTGAAATTGTTCCTATTCTTTTACTTTTGCAAATAAGGACTCTCCATATTCCTTAAAAATCAAATTACATTGCAGTAGCTTTTTCTTGCCTAACTATGTCTCCTGCTAGACTGGGGTCAGAGAATAATCCCCTCAGTTCAAAATCCAACAATCAAGACATCACTTAACATATGGGTTAAAAGAACAGAGCTGGGGCCCAGGAGATGGAGATGGCGGCCCTCAGGGTAAATGCCTGCAGCATCAGCACTGGGGTGGAGACAAGCAGGTCTCTAGGATTTGACTGAAGCCAGCTTAGCCGAACCTGGGACCTCCAGGTCCAGTGGGAGAATCTATCTCAAAATAAAGTGGAGAAGTAATGGAAGACAACCAGCATCAACTTCTGCCTTCACATGCACCAGCTCAGTCAAATATGTCCACTTAGACACACACACATTCTAAGAGAAAGGGCATCCCGGTGTAGCCCAGGCTCATCAGCTAGTCTTGAACTCATGATCCACCTGCCTTGTCCTCCTTAATGCTATAATTACAGGTGTATGCCACCAGGTCTATCCTGCCTATCCTGTGATCTTTTCCACTCTTTGGTAGTATCTTTTCCCACCAAGTCTGTAACCAAATCAACTATAGCTGTCTATTACACTCCTGGTTGTAATAATAAATGGCAGCTATTGTAAGAATAAATGTCCTCAGTAGGTCATTCTTCCATGCGCATGCATATGGCCTTGTGACCACAGTCAATGCCAGCTCACAGTAACTGTCCGGGCTCTCAGAAAGGACAGGCATTACCATTCTGTAGCTGCTGTGGTTGTGTATACAAACAAACAAACTAACTAACTAACAAAAGCCCGAGGCTAAGGAAACAGCTTACCTTCGTGGGAATGCCAATACAGAGTAGCCAAAACTACAGTGCACACTTTTACATGTTTTTGTATTACCTCAAATAATTAACTTCAAGAGATCTATTATTGACTTTTCTGTCTGAGGAAAGGATAGGGGTTAATTTTTTTTTTAAGGAAATGAGTTGCCCTTGTTGCTTTTATTATGTCACTGGGACTTTTTCAGTAGCAACATCATTGGTTTCAGTAAAAGTCATGGCATCATGACATAGATGGGATGGAAATGCCCCAAACAAATGTAAGACATTCCCAAAACATAACAAAGAGACACTGAGACAAGGGATTGCTTTCCTCTGACTTAGAGGATAAACAACCTCCGTGGAGAATCTCACCGGAAGAAATCCAATATCACACATTAAATTTCACCTCATTTTCTAAAGAGGACAATGTCAGTGTGGCACTGAGAAATGGTTTGGGGGAAAAGCACCCCTGTATGAGACAGGAAGGAGAACAGGTAATGAAGAATCCAGATTAAATACAGTTATGTGAAAACAGTGAGGCTTGACACAAGCAAAGGAAATGAGACCCTGACGGCCTGCCCTGCACTGCGCCTAGAGCATCAGGGGAAAAAACCCAGGTGTAATCTTTGCCTGGTTGTCCCAGTTTCTTCTCCTGAACAAACACTTCCCCATTCTTTTATCATGCACGGCTTGCTTAATCAGATGCCTGCTTCCAAAACAACCAAGAAAAGTGGAAATATCACCCCATGCCCAGATCACATAGGGCTCCGGAGACATGAGGCTAAGAAGGCCAGGCAGTGGCACATGCCTGTAATACCAGAGCTGAGGAGGTGGAGGAGTCAGGTGGCTCCCTGAGATTTGCTGGCCAGTCAACCTACTCTGTTTGGTTAGTTCTAGGCCAGGAAGAATACCCAAGGTTGTTCTCTAGCTCATTCTCTCTCTCTCGCTCTCTCTCTCTCTCTCTCTCTCTCTCTCTCTCTCTCTCTCTCTCTTTCTCTTTCTCTCTCTCTCATACACACACACACACACACACACACACACACACAAATATGCATGCACACATATACACACAAGTCTGTATGAGTGAAAATGGGCTTCCCCTCCATCTTGCACGCCACGGATGTTCCTGTGTGTATTAGTGAAAGCTCTGTGCTGTGGGCTGGGTAGCCAACAGAAATAGTGAGAGTAATTGAAAATAGAAGATTTGTGCCATTATAACTCCTATGTATTCCTGCAGCACAATGACACAGCCTATCTAATATACAACGACGGGGTCCCTAAGTCTACGAAATACAACAGAAAGTATGGACACACCAAAGGTAAGTCACTGGTTCTTGGCTTCTCTTTCCTATTGGAATCAGCATTTTCTTAAGCCTTTTATCTTTAAATCCTCATATTCCACATTAAAAAGACAGCTTTTGTTTTCATGGCTTATCCTGACTTACTGAGAGTTGATTTCTATATAACACTTTACAAAATAATTGTATGACTTGACATGCCAAAGCCCTTTTCAGAAATTCCAATTTATTTCTTAACATTTAAAAAAAATGTGCTTGAAAGTAAATATCCCAAGAGCTGGTTGTTCAAATACCTGTTATATATACATACATACATAGTCGTCATATATATATATATATATGGACATACACACAACAGCAAGGCTACATTGTGTGTGTGTGTGAGAGAGAGAGAGAGACAGAGACAGAGACAGAGACAGAGAGAAATGTGCATATACACACTTTTTAGTTAGGTTTTATTGGTTTTATTGGTTTTTATTTGTTTCATGTTTGCAGGGCAATCAATCTATCTATCACTGAGTTATATCCCCAGATATAACTGCAGATAGGCTGTCTGCAAGTTTCTCAAGCTAGCCTTGAACTTCTGATCTTCTTGTCCAAATGTTCCATGTTGCTAGGATTACAGTTATATCCAGCTTATGGAAGTTTACTTAATAAATTTGAATAATATTCACTCTATTTAATGTTCAACTCCATTGAAAATTAACATTGAAAAAATAGATCCTTAAAGTTTTTTCTTAATAGTAACTTAATATATGCTTTGTTACATATTGTTACTTGATACAGGAATTCTTAACATAGTAATCTCTGTTATTTTCCATTTACAAACTATGCATAAGTGTATTGCTATGTGTATGCATAAGTGTAATCCTAATATTCATTAGATTATAAAACTATTATAATTATTCCAAGTCCTTTAAACTTAGTATATCATAAATAGCTTCTATGGCAATTTTCTTCAGAATGTTCCAAATATCTTCAAAGGAAGCCACATGATGTCAGCAGGCGACATGGGGCCGAGCTACCAGGGGATTGGAAAATATTTAAAATGTCTAACAAGGACATTATTATATGAATGAATTATATGAATTATATGAATGCAATTTTTCAGGAGATTCTAAAAATTAGTATTTTTGAAATATATAATGGTTGGCAGGAAATAAATTCAGGATTAACAGTATACAGAAAACCTAATATATTATCAATGCGTGTTTGGCTCTAGGGCAGCTAATTTTCAATCTGGTTAAGAATATAATATATACCCAGGTATAGTCACAAATACAGTAACTTCAGCAGTTACTTGAAGAGGCTGAGGCAGGAGCACTGCCATGAGTATGAGGCCAGCCTGGGCTACAGTATGAGACTCTACTTCCTACACGTCCCCTAACATAAACCATTTGTAATGCCCATCAAACTTTGTGACACTGAAAACTTGTGATCACATTGCTGCCCTCATGATAGCCTTGCTACCACGGAACCCGGTGGCATTCAAACATGCCATATTTTCCATCCTCACCCCTAACTTTTCTGACCTGTTATTTGCAGAAAGGATTGGGGGAAACAAAAGAGAGTTTAATTGTGAAGGTGTGCTTCATTTGATCCACACGAACACAAACACCCAGGGACTTGGGATATCAAGCTCATGAGTCCTGTTAGACAACAGAATCTCCAACAGTTTCCACCACAGTACACTTTCTCAAGGGGACTCTGTGAAAAAGCAAGTCAACAGGCATTTGAATGGATTTTCTGGCATATTCCTATGTAGCCTGGAGCTCTGGGTAGCCCGCCATATGTCTATAAGCATGGAAAGTGTTTTGGACAGGGGACTTTCTGCCATGTCACAACCTGCCTTCATGGCTTTCATTTTAGTAGGCTCTTGAGAATTTTTTAAAAACCATGCTCAATGATGGTGCTTTTTTTTTTTTTTTTGGTCTATTTAAATCAGATCTGCAGAGACCCTTCTCCAACAAATGAGCAGCTGCCTCTTATAACCAAGTGCTGCCAGCACCCCGCTCTGTTTGCTATTGTCCCTTTTAACTGGCTTTTAGCAGCCCTTTGAAGATAACTTAAAGACTCAGCAGGAAGACTCCAGCTGGAGCTTGCCAGGTGACTTGTATGTTTAACAAGATCAAATTCCAGTTTAGCAAAATCGCCCAACTAGTTTCAACATGGGATTACCCTTCCCTCTTCACAAAGTGTCTTGCTTGGTTCCCCTTTTCAGTTAGGTGGCACCATGAGGTGTACCTGAGTTGTTACTGAAATCCTTGAAAACTCAGTAGATAATTCTCAAGAGCCTAAGGAAATGAGCTAATGAGCCTCAAGTGTAAGTAGGCTGCAATATTACCGTTTCAAATGTATTTCGAGAGGGGTTCTGTTTCCTAACTTTTCCAAATCAAACGTGTCTTTCTTTGGTAGGCCTACTGGTATGGAACAGAGTCCAGGGTTTCTGGCTGATTCATTCTGTTCCTGGGTTTCCTCCTGTTCCAAAAGACGGCTATAGTTACCCATCCTCGGGGAAACGGAATGGACAAAGTGGCATCTGCATAACTTTCAAATACAGCCAGTATGAAATAATAGGTAAGACGGGAGCCCATGTGAGAGGCGGTGTGTTGAAGAGGGCAGCAGAAGTCACATAAACAAGGTGCCACTTCATCGGTTAAGCTAGTCGTAGATCTTCTGGTGCCCTAATCCAATCCTCCCACTGTCTCTGCTGTGATGAAACCTTGGGCAGGATCCCTTAACTCAGCCTCAGTTCCTGGTCTGTAAATGGCATTGCCGAACTTGAGCATGGGCAATAATTTCAAAAAATGGATGAGGCAGACAGATGTTGCACGAGCCCCAGAGACACTGACAAACTTGGGTGGTGACTTTCCCGTGGATGTCTTCAGAGGCCTCAGCACCATCATCATAAATATACAGAACTGCAAGATGCCTGTGTGTGTGCATGTGTGTGTGTGTGTGTGTGAGAGAGAGAGAGAGAGAGAGAGAGAGAGAGAGAGAGAGAAACCCTTGTTTTAAAATATAGACTCAATGTTAGTTTTTTTTAATTTTCTTCAGACCAAATGTTGCCTCCACACTGTCAACATCATACCTCAGCAGCAGATAAATGTTTTCTAAGATCTCAAACTCAAATAGCCCAAAATACTTCAAACTATGATGTAGAAGTAAGAAAAGACGTAGTGTGTTTGACCTTCAGGAACAGCTTAGAAAATGTTCCTTGCCCAATTTTCACCTTAAACCCTATATTTGTCTAGATCACTGTCTTAACCTTCTTAATGCTATGACCTTTAATACAGTTCTTCATGTTGTGACCCCAACAAAATAAATAAAATTTATTTTTATTGCTACTTCATAACTGTAATTTTGCTACTGTTATGATAGTAATGTCAAAATCTGATATGTAGGATACCTGATATGCAACACTATGAAAGGGTCATTGACCCCAGAGGGTTTGCAATCCAAGGGTTGAGAACCACTGGTCTAGACTCTAGAGGAACAGAAATGAATATATGCACATGAGATTTCATAGAGTGACTTATAGCTAGTCCAACCTTGGCTGTCATTTACCACCTGGAAGTCCAGGAGTCCAGTCATTGTTCAGACCATGAGGGTGGATGTCTTAGTCTTCAGTATATGCCTAAACCCCAAAGAAGTAATGTCTAATTTCAGTGAAAGATTGAACTTGACATTGAGAGTGAAGACAAGCAGGCAAAGAGCAAAAGCTTCCTTCTTTTACATACTTTATATAGATCGCCACCAGAAGGTGTGGCCTGGATTAAAGGTAGATCTCCCCACCTCAAAAGATCCAAATTGAAGGGGGGTGTTCTTACTTCAAATGACTTTATTAAGAAAAATCCCTCACGGGTGTACACAGCCACTTGTGTTCTTGTTAATTCCAGATGTAGTCAAGTTGACAAGCAAGAATAGCTATTGTGTCCCTCATCTAAGTAGCTGGAGTCTCGTTAGAGCGCTGAACACTACAGACTTGAGATGAGCACTGAGTTGATTATTTTCCAAGCTTGGCACTAGAAGCTCTTTACTTTTATATATGCACACATAGGAAGGAAGGCATGTGACCTCCAAGGCAGGTTTATATAATTGACACCCACAAGCTTTATGGTCATAGGTATGTGATACAGACCATCAGTTAATTCATCTCAAAAGCGAGGATTTGGTAACAACAGAATTTACCTAATGATTAGATGAGTTAGGTAATTATTAGGTAAATTAGAATTTACCTAATGATTAGATAAGGAAAACATAAAACTCAGCCTGGGGAGAGGGTTTGGATAAACTGATTTCCAGGGCCTGAGTTTGAATTCCCAGAATCAAGCTAAACATAGAAACAGTGCATTTGTAACCCCAACGCTCCTACCACAAGAAGGGAAGTAGAGACAGGAAAATCTCCGGAAGCTTGTGGACCAGCTAGCTTTGGGGATGCAGGGCCAAACAGCAGAGAGACCATGACTTAAAGAAGGTAGAACACAATGACTGACACCTGAGGTTGTCCTCTGACTGCCACCTGTGTGCCATGACAGGCACATACATATATGCACACACATCATACATACATACATACATACATACATACATACATACATACATACATTATATATCCCACTCCCAAAAAGATTAAAAAGATACATAAAACCACAAAAAATGTATGGAAAGTAGGAATGTCCAATAGGTAGGCTCCAATTACTTTAGCCACAAGGCATTTAAGGGCGGTTGCTCTAAAAAAGTAGGGAGGAATGCCCTCACTTGGGGAAGTTTTTTTGTTTCTGTATTTTAATCTTCATAAAAATGCATAGTATCAGTAAGTATTTTCATTTGTGCTTAAGTTCTCAACTTTTCTTTGTTGTCTCTTGCTTTAGATTCCCAACTCTTGGTCTCCCAGCCTAACATCTACAGCTGCTCCATCCCAAACACTTTCCACTGGGAACTCATTCACATGCCCCAGCTGTGTGCCAAGTCCAGGTCCTTGAAGATCCCTGGCCGGCACCTCACCGTACTTCAATCAGCCCAGGGACTGAACTTCCTCCATTTTGCAAAATCCAGTTCTTATACTGATGGTATGAAAGGCTGTCTCCGTGTTAGTAGGAATCGTGCGGCTTGCTTAGAGAAAATACTCTGGTTATTTGGGATAGAGTGGGAAAGAGAGGAAGCTAGAGGAAGAAAAAGGAAGAGAGACTTCAAGCGTCAGCTCATATATATCCTTGTCCTGTAGGAATGGCAGCAGTTGCTGGCTCAACCACAGAAGTCCCTCATACAGCTGGGCCTCTAGAAACTGTCTCTGCTGGGCATAGAGCCATGGCTATTTCCAGTATCCGCTAGACAGTTGCTCTGAGACCTCCTTGTTCTCAAAACCTTTAAAAAACCCTTTCCTCTCTCCCACAGTGAGAATGAAGACCATAAGGGAGCAGTCACTTAAGTTCTGCCCCCTCCCCCTGCCACTCTTAGCTATCTTTATGCTTTTGTACCTGGGTTTGTACCAGCAGTCACCATAACTCTGTGTAACCCACTCTAGCCTCAGAATACCTTGGTTTTTGTCTACTCGGTCTGCGTTGTCTTTCAAACCTCTCACCCTCACAGGCTCTGTCTTTGTAGCACACAGGCTTATATAAAAACATTCCTAAAGTCTAAACTGCCCATCTCTCTGGCGCCCACTTCTCCACCCAAACTTCTTTTGAAACAACCTTAGAGCCTTCAGCCACTGGATCCTCTTCACTCTGAGTCTTGCTTCTCTCAAAGCCACAAATGCTTGTCTTACATAACCTTGTGGTCTGCCATGCTTTTTGCTTTCTTCCTTCCTTTATACATTACAGGGAATTTACCAAATAGCTGCAGCCTATGTCAGACACTCGAGATACAGAGACTAACAGGACAGAAGAAGCCGTTGCCAGCCATGGTGCTGATGAAACCCTTCCCTTCAGAAAATCTCTGCACTGATTTTGGGAGCACATCCTCTTGGTCTTCCTTCTGATGTACTGAAGTCCCTTGTGCCAGACCCACCTCCTTAGGAGATGAGATTGCTGTATGGTTTTCTACCCTTCCTTATATTGCTCTGTGTACCTTGTGACGTCACTCCAGAGAGCCCTTAGATGATTTCCAAGGCTGGGATTTCTGCCCCAGACTTCCACGCTAACGGCTGTACTCAACCATGAATGGGCTGTTTCCACCAGGAGTTGGTAGAGCTAGACCAAATGCAATGTGCCATTGGTCTCGCTGTCATCCCCCACTCACCCACTCTTTCATTCATGTTCTACACAGTATCCAAGACATTCCAGACTCCCTCTTTCCCATTCTTCCAACAAACCACCAAATCCATCCAGTCTCAGGTCCTTAATAGCTTTCAATTCTATCATATCCTCTCCAGCTCTTCTGCCACCATAGAAAACACCAGTGCTTTTGCCACGGTTGTTGTGAAAATCCAATGTTTCCTGCATCCTCTGAAATCCAATGTTTCCTGCATCCTCTGAAATCCACTCTTCCAAGTTCATCCTGGACAGTATCTCTCAATTGATATTTTTGACCATACGCTAGTTTCTCTTTGTCCTAAACTAACATTTTTCTAAAAATTCCCCACTGACTTCAAAACAATTCAATTATAATAGAATGGCTTACAAAATCCTTGAAATTGCCTCTAATTCTCCAGCCTTATTATTTTCAGAAGTCTTTTCATAGCTAAAATATATATTGCTTTCTTCATGTGGGAGAGAAGGCATTTGCAGACTCCAACATCTTTGCAATATGACAATAATAACTTTTGTTTGAACATTGCTTTAGGATTTAGAAATTATTTTCCCATCCACTGTGTTTATAATGTGGTCATGCTGTTACTATTGCCAGAAGCACAGAGCAAGGGCGAATGAAGGCTTCTTCTCCCTAGGGTCTTTGCAGGGATGACCTGGCTGATCTCATTCACTGTTTCTCTCCTCCTGGCCCCTAGACATCTTTACAGCCTGGATGGCTCAACAGTTGAAGACACATTTACTGGCAGAAACCTGGCAGAGGAAAATACATTCACTTTCTTCAAACTGCTCCCTTCCTTACCATGTCTACAACATCAAGGGCCTTAAGACACCTCACCAACCTTACTTCAGTTCTCACTCTGACCATTCCAAATGGTGCGTCTCCATCAAGGGCTCCAAAAATCAATGGACCTGTATTGGAGACCTAAATCGGGACCCACACCAAGTCTTCAGAGGTGGCGGATTCATCTGTACCAAGAATCGGTACATTTACCAATCATTTTATAGATTAGTTGACTTTTATGAACCATGTGGCTAAGCTTGGGGAAAAGATGCCTGCACTGTCCTTGAAAACTCTGGAAAAGGAATTACATTCTCCATGTATAAAAAGGCTTTTGAGTATGCACAACATAGCATCCAATAAAACACCGTGGTCCATGTTTACCTTTCAGTTTTCATCAGTAGAAATCTGTCTCCTTTGTGTTTATGGAATTAGAAATGCAAACGATGATAGGTAAATAATGACAATGGATGGAATGAAAGAAAGCATTCTCTTCAGTGTGGTCCTCTCCAGCGGCCTGTCTTATATATGAAATTTAATCTCTTTCACAAAGTTCTCCTGATTGTCCTGTCTGAAGAAAAAAAAAAGCACCTCCCCTCTCTGTGTGTCTCTGTCTCTCTCTGTCTCTCTGTCTCTGTCTCTCTGTCTCTCTCTCTCTCTCTCTCTCTCTCTCTCTCTCTCTCTCTGCTGGCTTCTAGTTTCATCTTGACACCTTTGCAGGTACTATTTGCTGCTAATATACTCTTGAGCTACTCACTTGAATTCTCCATGCCATTCTTTATTTCAGTCTAAAACAGGGAAATCATATCTAAGCATTTTCAGGCACCTCATACAGAACTTGTCACATAGCTGACAATTAAATCCCCTGAAGCAGACAATCCCAGCTATTCAGGAGACTGAAGCAGAGCTGTTGACCACAAGTTCAAGGCTGGCTTAGAATACAAAGTAAATTCAAGGCTCACCTAGGCAACTTAGTGAGAACTTACCTTATAAAAAATAAAAAGCGTCTAGGAGGTAGCTCCGTGGCCGGGCCTTTGTACAGCATATGCAAGCCTCGGAGCTCAACCCCACTTCCACGGAACAGGGAGTGAAATGCTGGCAAAATTCCACCTGTCTCCCATAAAATATGACACAAAGAAGTTTCATGAGTGATTTTTAGAAAAAAAAAGTAGGTGAAGAAATGGAATGAAAACAATGTAAGTATAAACCCACGAATCTGAAGGAAATAAAACGTAAATGAAGAAGCAAAAACCAAGGGTGGTAATCTTAGTTTCGGTATCTTTTTCTGGAATTCTCAGCATGAATTGCATGGAATGCAAAGGGATAATAATAAAATGAAGAGACTTAGTTGCTCAGTGAGCTGTGAGATGTGGGGCCAAGGTGCCAAGCTTAGAGTGGAGCGGGTGTCACCACGCGGTGACTGCACCCGGCACGCGGTGACTGCACCCGGCGCGCACTGACCGCATACCATGATGCAGTGCGCATGGGCTGCTCGACTTCCTGTTGAATCTTTCTGGTGGCTCTTCAGCAGCAACTTTTCTGATCCCGGTTTCCCTGACAAGTCAACAGAAGCTTACAGAACTGTTCGGCTCTGAAGTTGGGCCCTTAACTGAGATTCCAGAAGACAATAAAGGAAGTGAATAAATATAGGATCATAATTATCTTGCTATCTCAGTATGAACCAAAGTCTATAGGACCTCATGGTCCAATGACAGGCCATGAAAATGTTACTTGTCTCCTGTCAAAGACAAGCCCAAGAGACAGGTGTTTTGGATGCTGTCTACCTGCTTGGGAACGATTATATGGCCTGCAGAAAAACACCTTGGTCTCACAGAAAATACCTGAGTATAAATAATCTCCATGAAATGGGATTGTTAATGGAAAAATTTAAAGAACAAGATGATGACTCTCACAGGTGAAGAGGGACAAAACTTGATCCAGTTATACAAAGGGGAATAAATAAATGTAAAAGGAAGGCTAAAATGGAGGGATTCTGCTGAAGTAAAAAATATAGACTAAGTTGAATTGTCTCCCAACACATAACGGCAGATAGTCTAGAAAACAATACATGCCATGCTCACAAAAATAAATAAATGAGGGGTGGGGGAGGAGGGATGGGGGTGAGGGGAGGGAGAGGGAGAAGGGACTTACATGTGAAACAAGCTCGTTCCCTAACTTGAACTAATAAAATAAATAAATAAATGAAATTAGGAAGACAGAATAAAGTCAGATTACACAGAAATGAAAGTGTAGGAGCAGGAGAAGAAAAAGAGGGTGTTGGCCCACTGCAGACACACACCTGAAGGACCTGGCTTCTGAGGATGGAGAGATGGAAATATTTAACCTCCTTTAAGGAGGGAAAGAAAGTGAGAGAGTAGCAACCCTAGTGGCCCCAATACTGGAAGGGGGACATGTGGCTGTGTTTGGGTAATTTCCCGTGGTGGGATTTGAAGGCAGCCACAATGGAACACAAGTAACAAACGGGTGCCTCTTTCCCAAGTATGTCCAACAGGAAGGTAGGGAGGTGTCTTCAAGGAATGACATCATTAGAAGCGATGCGAAATACTTCAGAGTACCAGGAATGTTTTCGTCAATTTCTGTCTGGAAGAAAGGGGAGAGTGTAGGACAGAATAATGAGTTAAATTTAAGTCCCATGGTTTAAATACTAGAATGAGGGCCAGAGTGATGGCTCATCACGTAAGAGTATCTGTCTAGTAAAGTTTGCAACCTGAACTCAATTACTGGAACCCTTGGTGCAAGGAGAGAACCTTCTCCCTAAAGTTACTGTACGAGCGCGCGCGCGCATGCGCGCGCGCACGCGCGCGCGCGCACACACACACACACAAGTAAATAAAGTAAAAATTACAAAAAAGGAGCTGAAAAGGCAGCCTAGGAATTATGAACACTTGCTCTTGCAGAAGATTGAGTTCACTTCCCAGCACCCATATAGCAGTTCACAACAGTCTGCAACTCCAGTTTTAGAAGATCCAATGCCCTCTTTTGGCCTCCAAGGGTACCAGCAACACACATGGTACACAGTCTTGTGCATGCAAGCAAAGCATGCTACATATAAAATAAAATTTAATTAAAATTAAATGTAAAATATTTAAATAAAAAATCCATGTCTTAGTTAGAGGTCTATCTTTCAATAAAACATAAGCTGGAAAATGACCATGAAGAAAAGAAATTAGAGACAGAGCTCTGACCTTCTCACTCTCCTAGAAAAGCTCTGTCCGTCATTCTCAAGTGAACTGTTCTTCTGTAAACCCAGGTGAATGAACGACTGGCCAAGCTAAAGAGATCATATTCGGGAGTAAACTGGAAGTAATGCTCTCAAACTCAACTTGAGGCCTTAGCTCTTAAGTCTGGAAGGAAGTGCATGCACAGTGTGGCCAGACGGTTGTTTTTTTCTAAAGTAGAAAGTCCTGGACTTTCAAGTTTGAGAAACAGTGTAGACACAACTGCAAGAAGCCCAGGAGTACTGGGCAAATGCTACCAGTTCCACCCACTCAGACATCAGCAGAGTTCCCCGTGGAGCTCAGTGAGTTTCCTTGGTCATACATGCGCTGCAACATTTCCCTACATTCTTTCACTAAGTGACCCTTTTTAGCTTAGTGCAGCTTGAGTAGGTCTGTCCTAATAGTTAGAGATACTATTGCTAGGATGAAGCTGACGACCAAAAAGCACATTGAGGAGGAAAGGATTTATTTGGCTTACACTTCTGCAGTCTATAACTGAAGGAACTCAGAGTAGGAACTCAAACATGGCAGGAACCTGGAGTCAGGAGATGATGCTAACCCATGGAAGAGTGCTTCTTACTAGCTTGCTCGTCATGGCTTGCTCAGCTTGCTTTCTTGTAGCAGCAAGGACCACCAGCCCAGGGGTGGCTCCACCCACAGTGAACTGAGCCTTCCCACAGCAATCACTAATTAAGAAAATGATCTACAAGCCTGCCTACAGCCCAATCTTATGAAGGCATTCTCTCAAATGAGGCTTCCTCCTCTGTGATGACTCTAGCTTGAGTCAAATTGACATAAAAACTGTCCAAATCCTTGTTGATTTTCACGAAGACAACCTTTGCCTATGTATAGAAGCAACAATGACAGAGTGAGTTTGGTACCAAGCTTTTTCAACAGAAATAATAATTGAGACATGGATTATAATGCTCATAGTTTCCCAATTACCAGCACTTTAAATGCCAACATAGAATGCAGACTAAAGAGGAAATAAACGAGAATGTAGCATAATGTGGAAAAGTTTTCACAAGAAGCAGTGGAAAGAAATTGGTGGGATAAGATAAAACAAAGAGGTTATGCTAGGACTTCAAATATTCATTCATTTGTTAAAGTTCTTATTCAGCTGAAAAATTGTTGATTGACTTTTGGCTTATTACACTGACAATTTCAACTCCCAAGGAGTAGATGTTCTATCTAGAGAAAATTCTAGCTCGGAATCTAACTCATGAAAACAAAGAAGATTCTTTCAGGGAAATAAAAATAATGGCATTCTCGGTGACAAGTGTGTCTGAATGACCAATAGGAAAGATATGTTGAGCAGACTCTGAGTCTGTAAGATCTGAGATGGAGCCACAAAAGGAAACATGGCTCAGTGGAAGAAGCTGCTCAGAAGGAATCCAGCTCCAGATGTTAAGAAGAAACAGTGAGCGACTACAGAGAAAGTGATGCAGCTACACAGCTGCCATTTTACAAGCTCACTACAACTTGAGTGACCTGAATAGATACTGTTCTCGAAAAAGTGCTATGATTAAAAACTATTTTATGAGTCTGGAGAGATGACTCAGCAGGTAAAAGCACTTGTTGCATGGGCCTGACAATCCAAGTTTAGATCCCAGTTGCTCATGTAGAAGCTGGACACGGTGGTGGAGTCTGTAATCCCAGCAGTCCTATGATGAGATCATGAGATGGAGGCGGCGGACAATGGAGTCTTTCTGAAGCTTGCAGCCTAGCTATCCTGGAGCACAACTATCATTGAGGGAAACCCTGTCCCAAACCAAGTAGATGGATGCCAGAGGTTGTCCTCTGACCTCCACACTGATGCCATGGCAGGAATGCACCCTCATACACAAACACACACACACATGTACACAACATACATGTACAAAAATAAATATTTAGAAATACTTTGCATTTGTATTTTTAGCAGAAACTAACAGTGATGAAATATGGATGCTAAAAAAGCCATCTTTTCTTTCTAGCGAAGTAGATAATATTTGAATTAAGATGAAGAAAAATGATCAG